CACCCTAGGTCGTCATTTGTTAGCCAGTGTTCCTGAATTAGACAAATATCACATTCATCACATAGTTTATTGATGTGTGTAGCATTTATTTACTTTTCACAGGTACTTATATTCAAAGCCAGATACTATACCGGGAAAAGCTGAATAAAATGCGTCGCCCGGATGCGCTCACTGGGTGCGAAAGTTGTGAGCTGTTTTTTTTTTTTTTCTTGCGTCCGATGTCTCGTACTATCTTCGTGGATGACGTCATTTCTTATTGATGCGCTACAACCATGTATGTCACTGAACACACTTGTGTTTAGAATTGGGTATATAAATAGAAAAAAACGGGTTTAATAGTGAGTATGGTGTGCGAGAGATGGGCTGCACACCCCTACCCATTAAAGTGGTAGTACCCCCCCCCCGGGTTAAAACTATAGTGTCGGGGTTTCCTTTAAACTCATCACATTGCATCTAGTCGATACAAAACGGGGCCATTTCAAAAGTTAGTGATTTTCCACTGCCTGTAGGCACAGATACGAAAACGTCTCGGGCATCTGAGTAGGCATCCACGATCTCTCACTGATATCTAATAATATTAAAGGCCCAGTAGCTGTAATGAAAACGTCTCTAACGGCGTTCTAAATAACTATTTTGGGTTGAAAACTTGTTGCATTTATCTTTGAAATTGCTTATCTCCTGTTATAATAAAATTTTCATCGATCTCTGTACGGATACGAATGCGGAGAAAATGCTCACGATCAAACTCAACGCCATATTTCTAGGTGGTCTGACCACAGTCGTGGTGTTGAGGGACTGTGGTCTGACTGATCACGAGATGAAGAACTCCAACAATCATTGACGCTGCAGTTCGACGTCTTCTACACCGATCTGACGCATATCGCGCTTGGTGTGCTGGGAGTTTGTTCGAAATTTCGAACGTTTCGAAGTCAATTGTCGATTGCCACGTATTTTACGGATATATTAAATCGTTTCAGAGACCTGTTTACTAAATAATGATAAATGAAACTTAGAAAGCTTGTAAGAACAAACTGGGCCCAAATCGCGCAAATTGCAATAAGTTTACGTTGGTTCGGATGGAGTTCTACGCGTGATTTTATTGCGCTCAAGGACGTTCTATTTTCGAACTAGTTGAAACCGGAAATAACGCAACTACTTTCGAACTTCAAACACAAATTTGATTAACGTTATTATGTGTTAGTTTCTGTTGTTTCAAATATTGAATTATGTATGACAATAATATTTCACTCTATAAACAATATTTCACTAAAATATGTGATTCAAACAAAGGCAACCCAAATTGTAAAAAGCAATATCAAGTTCCGCGTATGTTTATATGATGATGGCAAAGTGGTTGATGGTGATAGAGCTTGCTGTTTCGAGCTTCTTCGGGTATGACAGGCAATAACGTATTCATAAGTGTATACTTTGGCTTACGGTAAATTACCGTGCCATACCCCCACAATCTATCGGTATAGTCGATGTAACCATCATCTATTTCCTCGACAATTTTTGAGCCGCGTATCTTTTGTGTAGGAAGTCAAGTATTTAGCGGGCCACATAGTGCATGTTCGCCAGTCGTCTATGTTGTCTTGCTTCATCTTTAATTTCTCCATTCTCTCGATCTCCGCCAACCTCTCCATCAGATTCCCATAATATATCGCACTTTTTCTGTCACGAGCAATGGTTAGTTCGATAATATCCCATTGTGGACTTTGTTTCCAGATTGATCTTGGTATGCTCTGTGTTTTGTGCATATGAAGTAGTGCACTGTAGCTTTGGTCTTCTATCGTGAAGTTTTGCGCATTCAAATTAAAGATGTCTTCCAGACTCTTCCATTCATCTTGTAATTTATTTAGTTGTGTAAAATCCACGTAAGGTTTCGTCTCTTCTTCGAAAAGTTGAAAGTAGCGTTTGAGGGATAGTTCTTGTCTTGTAGGCAAGTTTCGTTTTGCAATAGGCTTGATATTCGGTGTTTCAAATAGTATTTTGATTTCATCTTCCTCTTTTTGTTCCCATTCTGCAGTCATTTTGTGTGTCTCTCTCATATGCTCGTCTATCTGTCTGGCAGCCATTCTGTTACTCGGCTTCTTCTTTATTGTCACCCATTTGCTGTGCCTCCACAATTTATCCAGTTTGTCGGATATATCATTATTAGCTGGCCAGTCGATATCCTCAGGTTTTATGTCGCCATTAATGAGATCGAGAAGCCATGAGAACATTAAAGGATTAAGATCTTGTTTTATGTGTTCAAGTTCCGGCATTTCAGCAATGTCACCTTTTATGAAGAGCATACGGTTACGAAAGGCCTTTTCCTGAGATGAGACCTGATACCAGAGATTTCTATTTGCCGTAATGTAAATCGGGGTCCTCTCTAGCAGACATGGTGATTTACCCTTGCGGTTTATCATAGTCTGCATCCCCTCGAAGACGGACTTCGACCTTTCGGCGTTATGCTCACTCAAAACAAATTCGTTGGCCATGGCCACTCTCGCACTTAAACAATTCTCGAACATAAAATTGCTCGCGCTCTCGTTGGATGTGACTATATTGCCCCAGAATCTGGCTATGTGATGTATTGGTCGCATTATCCACGATTTACCTCCATTGGATGCTCCCATTAGATACATGATATTTTTTTTGGGCTCTTTTTTGTCAAACCATCTAATCGTGTCGTAAAGAAAGTCGAACATATTGATATTTTGAAAGTCGCACCATTTAGTGTACCACACTATTGAATCTTCTATTGATAAGTATTCATCTCTATTGTCAAATTTCAGGGTTGTACGGTTAGAGATTGTTCGTAAAGAAAAAGATAACTCACCGAATTCTTTTTTCAGGAGCTCAGATCTTACAGTGTCTACTGCCGTCTTGTATAAATATTCACTAACACTTCTGCTGATAAACTTGTGCCATTTATCCTTGGTTTCGTTGGATGCTGCAGAGTCTTCAGTCACTAGACGTCCTAGATTAGGCAAATCAGTAGGGTTATACTGCTGAATTAATTCTTTCACGAAATACAACATCTCTTCGTTTGTTGATCTTTTAACTGCGCGTTCCTTTCTCTTCTCTTCCATTGCGTTTATATCGTCGACTGTCGTATTGTGAATGAGAAGTTTTTCCAATGCTGTCTTATTTTTGGTATATAACCATTTCTTCTCCTTACTCGGTCCCTGGATGTACGCTGCGAAGGAACTGGGTACCTTGCATATTTGGCTGATTAAATGAAAGTTAGGCTCATTTTCCTCCCAGGAAAGTTTGGCTTGCCTGAATGCCGCTAGTTGTCTGACGTCGGAATCGTTGCCTAGCGTAGCGATAACATGCACATGTGGCCCGCGATACTGACTACACGGATCGGTTATTCCGTCATGGAAAGCACCATAACTATCTACACCTTTTACTTCTAGATACTGAAACAGCAAGTCTGTCGCTCGAATCAATTCAGAAGTAAGATTAACCATGCTCATATCTTGTTTGTCTGGCACGACACGAAACTTGGAAATAAAGATGATATATTTAGTTTTCACTTCTTCTGTTCTCGGTTGCAACCAGTTTTTCTCTCGTAGAGGTACTGCATTGCTTGTACTTGCATCGGAGACGTAGCTCTTTGCTTTAACAAATCGGTTGTACGACATCGTTTATCGAAGTGTGAGGAGATATAGCAGGAGTGAATTCACTGACCTGTTTACTCGGCGAAATCCAGCGGGTAACTGAATTTATCTTCAAAAACATTCCATCTCACGCGCGTCGAACGTCGCGCGGGTATAAAAATAGAGTGTGCGTCATTGGGTAATTCCATTGATCACGCGTACGCTGCGTGCGCTTTGCGTGGTGTTTATTTCTTGCTGCGTCACAAACCTTGGCACAGTGCCAAGTTCTAGAAAAGCCCATAGAGGACCTCACACTGTTGTAAAGAGGCGGCGGAGCGGATTTTTAGCCAAAATCGTTTAGTAAGGCGTCATATGACACAGGTTTGTGCTGGGACAGCGCTTCCGGTGACGACACAACGGAGCATTTCGGAATTGCGCACGCGCAAACAATCAGTAATGACGTATGATGGTTTAACAAACGGAGCTTAGGGTACGTACAATAAACACTTCACGATGTTGATTCAGTGCTTTTAGCGCGCTTATAAAGCATACAGAAGGGCCCGATACCAAATAATTGAACTAGTTTCAGCTAATAGAACGGAAATATTTGCTATTCATGTAGAACACGTTTGCAATACAAAAAACTAGGTCGTTACAGCTAGTGTATCTTTAAGGCTCGCTCCACACATTCTTCGGATAACATTGCACGTTTTTTTTTTTATTTGAAGCTAAAATAATATGGCGTATCCAAGGAAGTTTGTATGTATGGTTTCTGGAACCCAGTTTATTTGTTAATTACCCTGTCATCTCATTGGTTGACAAACATTATACATGTCAATCATCACAAGCCTGGATCTGTGGCCGGTAATGTAAGTGCGCTTATACTGACAGCAAGTCTTACGCGGACTTACAGTTACAGGACTTTTTCCGTTCACCCCCCCCCCCTTACCTAATTTGTCCTCGAGAATTTTTCATCGGAATCACAACAGACTGCAGGCAGGTCTATGACACAGTTTAATCATTCAAACCACTGGCGGATCCTTTTGATTTGGAGTGGGGTTTTCAATAGGTGATTTTCCGAACAATTGCGAGATCTCGCGAGATGCATGAAAGACGCGCGTCGAACGTCTGCTGCAAAAATCGAACGATTTGATTTTGAACTAGAATTTCTTTATTTCGCAGCTTACATTGACCGGCCGATCTTCGACAGAGGAATATTGCTTCCGAATACCCTCACTTAATCGAAATTGTCTATCATCAAATGTGGACAGCACATTATTAAGCATGGAAATGTCCCCGAAATACTTTCGCGTTTGTCGAATCCCACGCGATGTTTGACGCGACTACGACGCTATGACCTTTGTTTGTCCTGTTTTTACGTTCGATTTCACGCATAACGCGTGATTCTCGCAGTGTACGGAAAATGGTCTATTGACTTGTCATTCTTTTGCAGGCTGGAGGGGTGGGGTGGGGGCGCCTCTCCCTTTATCCGCGCGAGCAAGCCATGTCATTTCTGTCTCGAACGTAAGAGAAGACATTACCTCTTTGACACAATGTCGAGTATATATCTGGCGCAAAGACTTAATTGGTTAAAGTGCTTGTCTTGTAAACAAGAGATTCTGCCTTCGAATCCTAGAGGTGCCTATTTCTTGAATAATGAGCAAATGCAAATATTTGAATTCATACCAATCGGACACCTGCCAAATGTGTGGACTGAGTTCATCGTTATTCAGATTTCACATTATTTGCATATGACACCTTTATTATTTGATGGCTTGATCTAATCATTGTATCATACTCATACGACTACTCATACGATTAATTAGTTCATAACTTAGCCACGCAGATGTGTATATAATATAAATGCACATAGCGTGAGGACCGAAAATAACCAATTTGCTTATATAAATCGCTAAGCTGGTTTAAGTGCTTGTCTTGTAAACAAGACATTCTGCCTTCGAATCCTAGAGGTGCCTATTTTTTGGATAATGAGCAAATGCAAACATCTCACATTCATACCAATCGGACACATGCCAAATTT